GCAAACATTCTAAATAAACAAGCTACATAATTGTTCTCTGTTCCATGTGACGTATCTTTGTCTAGAACAAACATTAGCTTTGTAAAACTGAACACAATAACTTTCAAAAGCAGCGACGTTCAGCGCCACATAGACCGACTTCGGTCATTTTCTTATCCTGGCCGTTAGTCTGCTATCCTGCCAGCTTAGATATGGCGGCAATGATATTCCATTTTTACTGTTAAACATGTTTACCGTGTTCACTGAATCTATCGTTTTCCAATCCAACGTGAACTCGCGCTACTCAGACCTAAGCACAGAATGGTCAAAGAGCAGCCCTCAGAACCTAAGGCACTAAAGCTGAAGCGCCTGATTTTGCGAAAAATGGAGCTAGTGATCAGAGAGAAAACCATAAATCATTTGCTCTCATAAAACCGAACCAGGCTCAGCATGGCTTTATACAGTAGCGATCATGTCAAATATGCCTGCTGGAATTGCTAAATTGATTAACGATATCGGGGGATCATGGCCATACAACTATCATAGTTTTGATCGACATGCAAAAACCATGCGTCAGAATGCCGCATCGCCACCAGCCATGGAAAATGTCCATTTGGCAGCATAGACTCTTTGCACACTTGGTGTAAATCATGACTTAGTGCTCGCACAACAAGTCCAAATAGGAATCCATAGGTCATCCTCGCTGCCCGTTGTTAGTGGTGTGATCCAAGCAGCGTCCTTGAACCAGGGCTAGTTTGGATGTAGCTTAATGACATAACAGAAACTAATAATAGAGGTAAGCCTACTATGTTGCAGATGATATTAGCGTACTGTAGATTATTCGCTCTAGAAACATGAAAAACCTCTTGCATAGGATACCGAGTGGTTTATTAGCTCGCGAAAGATGGTGAAACAACTGGCCAATGTCATTCGAGTTGGATAAATGCGTGTAAGCACCTGGATGCAAAATAGATAGGAACACCCTACACCTCTGTGAAGAGTTCATTCTATCCTGCAACACACTAAGAGGCTTGGGTATTTATTATTAAAGCAAACTCAAGCTCAGATAGCAGATCGGATTCATAAAAGTTAACGCCCGCCAAACAGCGTAGTTAACCTTCATATAAATAAATAAATAAATAAATAGGTATATTTCTAGACCTGCTAGAGGCTGCACCCTAAAGGGTTCAGATCAAGGCTTACATTAATCCGATGCTCTTGCATGGAAGTAGGCAAAACATAAATATATGTTCATCGTTAGCAATTACAAATGCATTGGCACTGTTTGGTATACAGCTACTGGGTCTCAGGCGCCCACCTTGACGTTTTCTGGTTCCTTCGGGCGATATTGAGCTCCTTGTTCTTTTATTGTGAAAAACTTCGCGGAGTTGTGCCTTTTCTCCTTGGAACAGAATCCAATTCGCCACAAGTTCACTTTAAATCGATCGCACATTAATTGGCCACTCAGTTGCCCCAATTGTTGTTGCGCACATGGAAGAAATGAGTGAAGGGATTATAAGGCATACGAAAAGTTAAAAAATTTCGATAAATGCAGACAAGAATAGAAACAATTTATTAAGAGGGAAAATAAATCCGCGCGCTTCAGTAGAAAAATACCAATTAACAAAAAAATAGAGCCCTACATTTCTTACGCTGATATTGCTCTCCGGCGCGAAATTTCAACCTGTTATTCTCAGATAAAAGAAAAAGCCTTTCTACAGTTACAATACCGCTTAACGTTGCACAAAATTACACTGGTCTGGACTAGCTTTAGCGCCTGAATAGGTTGAACGTAAAAGCAACACAATACGTGCAGTATTTTGCGAGTTATTCGCAATTAAATGATGGTCTACGAATAAGGCCATTTTTATTTTTCGCTAAAAATGGCTTTCTGCTTTGCAAGCAGATAGCAGAAAAAAGAAAAGAAAACATAAAAAGTAGGGAAGCGGCGTATGATCTAGATGGGCATAGCTATCCAGAAATGCTCTAATTAGCCCGTAATACCCTGCGACAACTACGGGCTGCGCAGTTGGCTGAAAAGTAAACTTTGCAGGCATACATGATAAATATATGCAAATAAGGGATGATTTTGCGCGAAAACGCTAGAAATCCAGCAAGGAATATTATATCTACCTGGGAATTCAGGGGAGCCTGTAATTAACTCACGGTTAGAAGGCCACAGCATACCGTTTTCAGGGGATACTGAGCCACATAAATAACCAGTAAAATAGAGTTTAGCATTTTTTAAGCCTCTAAGCTTTTCTAAAGCTTACAACAAGGCCGCATGAGCCAGGTCTACCTGAGTAACCCAAGGGATCTTTCAGATCCGTTGACAGATTTCGGCCTGCAAAATACACACATTACTTAGCTAAACATCACAAGATTTATCCCTTAGAGCCGATTTTCTATATTCATGAGGCTCTGTCACTAACATCAGTGAGCTACAGGAGCCTGTCACCAAAAATAAAGAAATAAGCGTGGGAAAATTTAGTAAAATTTAGCTAATTGCATTTGGGCGTGAAATCCGTTTTGGTCTACATTGGTTGGGCTTTAACAGCTCTACTTCTGGTGGTTGAGCTTGCTCATACTTGAGTTATTGTTATGCCTCGTGTGTAGATGCACACTATTGTGCAGCTCTTTGGTGAATTTCGATTTATTTCTCTCCATTCTTAAGTTCCGAAGATAGTGCCGGTGGTGTTCATCCAGTTGGCAATGTTAACTGGTGCTCTAATGTCACGTCGACTATTTCTTTTGTGATTTTCCTAGCAAGAGCTGTTCTAGCACCCGAAGCAAAGAGCGATAAGGTAAATCAGGAGTAGAATAGTAACAAAAACCAGTGGGAGCTGGTCGTTCACCCACCATTACGCATAACGCATGGTAGGCTTTAGAGCCAGCTAAAAGATAAATGATACACGGGCGGCCAAGATAAGAAAAGTGGTGGTGGAAAGCTTCTGGTGCTCCAGCCAGCCAGTGTGACAGGGGCCTCTCTGTCGTTGGTTAGCTTTCGTGCCAGTGAAATGAAATCTGGAAATGAGAGTGTTTTACGAGTAAAAGCAGTTCAAGAAGAGGATCTGGTTTTCATTATGACTGTCTACTAGTGTTGCCAATACCGAAAGGCACATGTATACCAGATAAAGCTAAGTATATGGGGCCAAGAGAGGATAAGTGGAGAGCAAATTGTCTGATTCTTGGGCCTATAACTTTCAAAGTGCGCCCGTTGTCAACAGTAAGAAAGATATATGTTTTATTTTGCGGTTTACCTACTGATAGTGTTTGGAAACTGCTGAGTATAGTAACTAGTGCTCAGACTTAATGAAGAAGCTTCAATTAGGGCCCGCTGGCAACCGACATCTAGGAAGACACATAAAGGTTCATTTAAAGCCGGCATTTAGACGATTTTGGACAATTCTAATGCTACGCTTAGGTGCATCCGCAGCAGAAAACGCTTTCATCATCCCATGCAAGACTTAGGTCTGGTAGCATGCCTTTACTAGGAGTACCATAGAGGTCATAAGCCTAATACTTTTTCCACGGATCCAGTGGTCAAGAAGTTGGAAAGTGATAAATGTAAGTCTGAAGAGAAGGAATGAAGATGTAGATAAGAAATAAGGATTGAAGGAAGAGGTCGTTGAAGAATAAGATCATATTGTATTCAGTTTGCTATTCTTAAACCCTGGAAAATGGGTGCGACGGATACCGTTCAAGTCTCTTAGGTGCTAGAACGGTAACCACGATGAATGTGGATGAGTTTTGAGCTCAAGGTGCTCAGATGCCTGGCACTACATCTTGGGCGTCCTCAAGCTCCATCAGGGCCAGTTTCAAAGAAGTGGTCTTGCGAATCGCAGATATGGAAGATGCTTTGTAGATTGCCAAAACATAGGAATTTTTGTATCTCCTTCCTGAATACCTGCAAATTTTGGATTTCTCTTATTCTGGAAGGCAACCTGTTCCACATGTTCACGTACACAACCAAGAAGAAACGAGACCGCAGTCTCTTCTTTGCCTTTAGCGGAGTAATGGAATGGCCCTTGTTTCGGAGTCTCGATTCAGACGCGCTCCTTAGTTTAAGACAAGTGATATTACTGTGCAACTTTCTATGAATTAGCTTATGTAAGAAGCACATGTTAAGGATAATGCGCCTTTGCCATAGCGGCTGAATTTTAAGGTGTTCACACCTTTGTCGGTAATTCAGCGCATGCTGCGGTGGAGTCAACATCTTCGTAAAGCGTCGCTGAGCTTTCTCAAGCAGAACACGGTCTGACTTACGTAGATTGCTGCATATAAAAGAGTAATATTCTAGATGTGGCCTGACGTGACTCTTATAAAGTTCTAGCCTAGCATCGGCGGTTTCTATGCAACGGCGTATGTGGAACGATAATCCTCTTACCCTTGCGACTTGATAATGCACTTGCTCTGCAAAGTTGAGGCTCATAGAGTAGCGCAAGCCCAGATCTGTTGTTATGATATACTGTTTGATAGTGCTGCCGTTTATTGTTAGGGACCCAGCAGGTATAGAGAATCTGTGGGTCATGACGTTAGATTTTTGAGCGGAGAAGGTCATTTGCCAGTGTTCGCACCACTTTTCAAGTGCATTAAGATCCTCACGGATACTATTTATTGCGGAAAATTCATTGCCACGGGGAAAGTCGTAGACAACTTTCACATCGTCAGCAAAGATAAAGGAGCGACCGTGTTGCAAAATCTTGCAGAGGTCATTGATATAAATCAAAAATAGGGTAGGGCCAAGGACACTCCCCTGCACCACGCCACTGGGGACGGCGGTCGGGGTGGATATAGTTTGTTCAACCTTAACAGACTGCGTACGTCCTATTAAGTAGGAACCCAACCAGTCTAATAGAGGACCGTCTACCCCATAAGCCTTTAGCTTATGCATCAGGCGCATGTGTGGTACCCTGTCAAACGCCTTTTGCATATCAAGGTAAAGAATGACAACTGATTGATTAGAGTCAATGGCCTCGGTGACCAAATTAAGGAAGTCCAGCTGACAGGTTGCACAAGACCGAGCACTTAGAAACCCGTGCTGAGATTCATTTATGTGCTCGCCTGCGTAAAGATGAGTCATGAGGGCTTTTTTAATCAACTTCTCCATCACGCGCGAGATAATGGAAGTGTGGTTAATGGGGCGATAGTTACCAACTTCCTGTAGGCTTCCGCCCTTATGTCTTGGCACTATGATAGAATGTTTCCATGCGGCCGGGCATTGACCTTTTTGCATTGATAACGTAAAGATTTTCAGAAGAAGCAGAGGGATATCTTCACCACCATTCTTAAGTAGACTGGGCGGGATTCCGTCTGGACCAGGGTCCCAGGATGGCTTGGTAGTTGAGATCGCGGAACGGACACTACTTAGGTCAAACTGTACAAAGGACAGGGACTGGCTACCGGGTACCTTCATGGCCTGAAAGGTTGAGCTTATTTCCAAACACTGAGATTCTTTAAAATGTGAGCTGAAGGCTTCACATAAAATTCTTGGGTCACTAGACGTTTCGTTGGGACTGATCTTTAGAGTAGAGAACTTTCGTCCAAAGTTAGAGGTTCGAGAGCGCAGCAGCCAACTGAGACTCTTAGCTTTGTTCGCACTATTTAGTGCGGCGATTTCTTGCTTGGTTTTCTGCTGCTTAGCTCTGGCAGAAAACTGGTATGCCATCTCGTTCGCTCTCATGATGTGAGCAAAATTGAAGGTTTTGTAATAGGATCGTCTAAGCTGACGCATTCTGTTATGCATTTTGGTTTGGGTCATACTTTTAGAAGAATGCCTTATTAGATGCGACACGGGAGCTAGAGAGTCGAGACAGTGGAGTATTTCCTCATAAAACAGCTCAGCCGAGCGATCCACTGAATCAGACATAAAGAAATCATCCCAATTATTTGATCGGACGAGCACAGCAAAGGTTGTCCAGTTGACGAGGTGCATCGGGCGGTATACTAAGACTGCACCTGGTTCTGTTGGGTGGGCAGTATGTGGCTTTAAGTAAACCGAGCAATGCACTAATCTGTGATCACTACCCGGGAATTCCCGGCCGACTGCCACTCGCGTTGATGGGATGCTGAGAGTAAATATTAGGTCAAGGATGTGTTCCTCCCTGGTTGGAGCAGATACATGTTGCGTCCAGCCGCCTAAATTGATGCATGCTTGTAGGGCAGCATACTTCGTTGTTGCAGCAGGTGAGAACCAGTTTAACTCAGGTAGGTTGAAATCTCCTGCAACGAGCTTGTAATCGCAGGGAAAAGTTGACGCTTGCGCAAAAGCATCCATAAGTGCCTTGTCACCCTTAGCTGAGGTATCAGGTGGTCTATAAGCACACCCAAATAATATCGTGGATCCCAGGATATCAGCCGTTATCCATACTGAATCCATCGCCTCAGCAGCGTTCATCATTTCGGACATTTTTGCTGGGTAAGTATTTTTAACATAAATGGCGCACCCGCCCCCTCGTTTGTGCGTACGCGACTGCATAAACTGCTGGTAGTCAGGAAGTGAGTAGTCCTCCTCTGAAGCATAAGGGGAAAACCATGTTTCCGTGACAAATATTGCATCAGGGTCGGCGAGGACAGACAACGGACGCAAGATATGCATTTTATTGTTTAGGGACCTAGCATTTATAAGTAGAAGTGAGAAAGAACACTTGGGGTCTATTAGATTTACGCATGACGAGATGAAGCCGTTGATGCTTACTTCGCTATCTGCAGTAGTTGTAAGAAGTGGGTGAGAAGGCATTGCAGTTGGTAGTTGGGCGACGAGGAGTTTGGTGTCGGGATGAAACTGTCGCGGCTCATCCCCACCTGGCCTAAAAAATGCGCAGGTTGCGGGGTAGGAAGTAGTGGACTATTTGGCCATTTTATCTGGACCGGCGGCGAAAGTCTGAGGGATGTAGCAGGTACATAACAGCCTGGATGCGCAGGTAGTTGATCGGAGCTGCGTAAATTATCACATGCAGTGCTCTCCGTGGGTGAATTGGTAACGGTGGTGGTACGCGATGCCGTCTCACAAGTATCTGGGGTATGGTTGGGTAGTGTCCCTCGTGGTGGGCCAAAATAAAGTTGCCTTAACTTGAGAGCATTGCGAAGTTGTTCACAATTCAATATTACAGTGCGCAGGATTCTACTATCGTCTACTGTCAATTTGACTGGGGCTGGGAATTTACTGATTCTTTTGACCATCCTCTCAACGTGTACCGAGTTTTCCGCGATACCGTTAACTTTAAGGATTGTGCTCTGAAGCTCGCCCGTCGATACGCCATCCGGAACATTAAATACAAGTACGCTAAACAACGCATTGTCCCAACCCGGCTGCTGCGACTGTTTGTCTACTGATCTTGCGCTAATTAAGGCTTGTGTGGGTGACATAGCCGTCGTCGGTGAGTGAATAGGTGAGTTTGCTCCGCAAGCCCGTTTGACATTGGGATCCTTCGTAGTGTTAGACACAATGCTGTCTAAGCGGTTAGGTGTAGCTCGTTGTCTCTTTTTGGATGCGCCAAGCTCGCGTTGCCTATAGCCTGCAATGATGTTAGGATTAGTCGCAGCCCAACCTAAGCTTCTTTTCAGCGGCCCGAATGTAAGCTGGCTTAGCATTGTTGCACTGCGAAGCTGTTCACGGTTAGCTATGAGAGTATGCAATACTTCCTCATCCTTTGCGTTCAGTTTGATGGGACCCGCAAATTGGGTTACACGCTTAGTCAATCTTTGAACCTGCAAGGCATTCTCTGCAATGCCATTAACTGCAATGATTGCACGCCTAAATGTTTCCACCGATATGTCGTCGGGAACATTGAACACTAGAGCGCTGCACAATCCATTCCCGCACGCAGCGTTGTATGGTGCTAGCGTCTCCGCTTTTCTTATTTTCAAAGCTGGTGGCGTTGAGCCCAGCGGCTCAGGTGAACTCGGTGGTGTGGTCCGTATACGAGGCCTTTTAGCTCGAGGCGTTGGCGGCTCTGTTCGCTGAGTGTTGGTTATGCTAAGCTCGCTTCGATCGTCGTCGCCTTTTGCTAACATCGGTTTAACTGAGTTGTTTAAAGATTGCCTTAGAGGTTCGGCAGCCATTGGCCCTTCCGGTTTGACTGATCGACTTGTATTAGTAGCTGAACACTTAGTGTAAATCGAGGGTTTTCTTATATTATTCGCGGGCTGGCTGATTTGCTCTATGTATGATGTGACTTTACGGATAGCACTGGTCCCAGGGTTTGCAGGTTCTTCCAAGCAATCAAGCGATCCAGTATCCATATCAGACGAAATGTCAAGGTCCACAGTACCTGAGTCACTTAGGTGCACTGGCATCGGAGAGTTGTCACAATTGGCCTGAACACATCTGCTATGTGCAGAACTCTCGGTTAGCCTGTCGTAACGTCGTTGCAATGCCGTTCTCGCTGGTACTAACTTTAAGTCAAGAAACGTGGTGCGGGTCCTAAATTCCCCTTGATAGGAGAGAAACTTAAGAGCCGAGCTCTCGTTATCGAACTTGACTAAGAGAGGGCATTGGTTTTTCATAACCTTTTTTCTCAGCCTCGTGCAGCTTAGAAGATTGTGTTCCAAGCCACACACTTTCATCAGTATTTTACGAATGGCTTGCAGATGCAGGCGGTCTGGAACATTATAAATCACTACCTCATTAAGACATTTTAGTCGATCCATTACCTCGGTGCAAATCGTATTAATGAACCTTCCAGCCAATTCCGCATGCTTTGATTCCATGAGGTCCTTGGGTTGCATCATAGCTGCTATGGCTGTCAGTCTGTCAGTAAAAGGTTCTAATGTGTTGAGGACCCTTTTGAGCTTCACCACTTCATTTTGAAGATCGGCTATTTGAGAACTCAAGGAAAAGATGTCCGTTAAGTTAACGGTGCATGGTATAGTTGGGTCAGCTAAATTACTGCTGCTAGTTCTTGCTTTGGCCGGAGTACGCCCCACTGCTCGCACACCCTTGATAGAGACGTTAAGACGACGTCCACTGACCATGTCCAAAAGAAGAGGTGACGAAAAAGAAAAGATAACAGCAGAAAACCTGTAAGTTGAACGTTAAAGAATAGGTGAAGATCGCGTTGAAATATACTCTAGCGACACTAAACGCCTTTAAAAGCTTGAACAAATAGAGAGCGAAACAAAACGGACCTTGTTCCCAGGTACATCCAGCAGAGAAAGTCATTGATATTGCGTGCTTCCAAGCTGCATTTGTTCAAAAGCTGTTTGCGCCCTCTTTTTGAATACTGTTCGATGTTATTTACTAGTTGTAGGAAGCGTGATTGTCTATGCTTGGAGGATGTGCAGCGTCGATTCACCAAAGCTCTATTTACCGAATCCACGGCACCAAACTATTCCCAGAGCTATATACTGCTTAAAGTAGAGCCCTTGTGCTTATGGAGGTTGAAACCTGAACTAAAATTTCTATTAGACTAAGTGTACAAGCGTGTATTTGCCCCGCACGCTAATATTCACCTTATGCAGGAGGAAATAACATTAGAAATAAGAGAACATCGCTTTCTTCAAGTACAGCAAAATCTAGCGGATCCAGGAAGTCTTAGCTGCCGAAGCACTTGGATGGCGTTTGTAGACTTTCTACTGAACTGCGACTATGTGAGCTTAAACAAGCGTTTGGAAAAATGCTAGATAATTACCCCACTATGTTGCAAGTCAACCAATATATGCAACTGGACAGCAAAGCGGAGTCAAGGTATGAAGGAGCGGCTGAAGTAAAGGTATGAGGGACATGAGCACGATAATATATGCAACTGTTTGCATCATCATTTCGGTGGTTAGTCAAACCATTACACTTATTCCCATTACAACAACTCGGTATCGCGATTTGCACCATGCAAAACTAATGTTCCTTTCTCTCTTTTTATTTGCTACGCGCTGCAGTTATTGCTTCTTTCTCGGAGAAAACAACTCAGCTAAGTTTGGCAGTTCATGATACATGGTGGATTCTACTTTCCACACCAATTACTCTAAAAGAATGATTATCTGGAGAAGCTGGATCTACCTTAAACTCGTTCATGGAGCCCTTTTCATTAGTTTTTCTATGCATTCTCTAGTTACAAAATAAAGCCGAACCTGTCGGCTATGTAACACCCATTTATCCTTAGTTGTATGCTGCCGCCTAGACGTCATTTTTCACTGCTGACTACTAGTGGGCTGATCTCCAGAAGTAAAGTATGAAGCTTCAACGTTATGTAATACACCCACGTGTGACGAATGGTCACAGGCCTAATCAGGGCAAATTTTCACATCCACGTCGGGTGTGAAATGTGTCAGACTTGAAAGAGGCAGGAGCTGAAATAAGCAAATTGGCCTAAAAGAGTTTTAAGCAAGCGATAAACGAGAGCTTACTTATATTGGCGTGCTTATAACTCGTTAGTTAAGCATGGCCCTAAAAAGAGCTGGTATGTACTAGACCTTATCATCGCACTTGTCTCGATTAACACGCAATCGCCACAGCTTGACGAACAACGTAGAAACTCAAGCGTCGCTTGTAGTCTTTTTGCATCCTCTATGCCAGATACCACCATCCACAGTTTCACATCATCCGCATATATTAAACATTCAGACTGCAGCACAGACGGCAGGTCGTTAATGAACACTTTGAATAGCTCGGGCCCAGGATCAAAGTCGTGGGGGACGCTGCTGGTAACGAGTACAGATTCAGTATGCGCTTCATTTACCTTTAGTTGCATTGACTGACCGATCAGGAAATCATAGGTTCGGGTGAAGAAATTCCCAGTGATGTCAATGTTTGGAGTTTGGACAGAAACCGCTCATTCAGGAAGTTGCCAAAGCTTTACTAAATTCAACAAACATGACATCCAAGTGTTACTCCAGACCTAGTCACTGAACCCACTTCACCTTGGCCATGAGCAAGTTTTTCGTGCATGAGCGGAAACGTGCTCGACCACAGTTTAGCGGAATAGTTGTGGGCTCTCAGTACCAGGCTGGCAAAACGAATCTAAATGAAGCAAAAGTTCTAAAGTAGTCACTGTCAATGCCTACGTGTACAAATATGGAAAGCGGAAAGGACAAACAGCTGACAGAGCAGAGCGTTACTTCCATACAAACGGCGGAACACCGTTTGGCAAGGAGGCTGGCTTTTCGTCGTCCACTTAAATTAGAGTGGCATGCTCACAGGGACCTAAGGTAGGGATGCCACTGCGGGCTCTAGTGCCACGTAGTTGGTAGGAGTAAAGCGTCTTGGGGATCGTACTAGAGCTTGCAACACTTGACAATTCGTGTTGTTGGCGTTTCTTGCGTTTCTTTAGGACACATGCATTCCTGACCGTCTTGTATTGCGAGGGATCAAGCTTCACCCGCGTAAGCTTGAAACCGTCCCACAGTTTGCGCCTTCTATTCATTAGAGCTCTCACTTTCATGTCAAGCCAATATGGGCCTCTGCAGAGAAACTTCTTGTTGGAGAGGAAGGTGACCTCTTTAGTAATACCTTTTAGCTTAGATTACAGTAGATTTCACGCAGCATCAAGGTTGATATGTTCCAGTATATAACTGTCGACAACTCGGCCAATGGCCTGAAGAACTGTTAGCTTAGTGATATCTAGCTGAGCTGGGGTAAGCGAAAGTTCCAGAACGTTCGGCGCACGTTCTGCAAACGTGCAGGTTGGCATGGTGCCTTGCTGAAACAAAATACAATCGACTAGGGTATCGAGTAAGGTAGCCTAGAAGGAATCAAATGGAAGGCCGAAAAGAAGTAAGTCCTAATCGATATAGGACATTAAAATCCCACAAGTTAAGGCTGTCCTGTTCTGCACCCTGTGTCCCGATCGAATCGAGCAGGTGAGCTCCGGATCCCAATGGTGCCCTGTAGAGGACACTAATCTAAAATGATTTGCAGTTATCATGAATTCGACACCAATGGGCATCAAAATCACCAGCGCCGTCACGTTTAGACGTCAAATGGCTCTTGAGGTCGGCCTTCCAGTAAAGTATGGCGCGGCCACCATGACGCCCTCCAAGGCGGTCGGCTCGGCAGGGACATTATTCGGCGATAGGTCCTTCTGAATCTATGATGGCTGCGAACAGCCTGGTTTGCGTAATGACCAGCACATCTAGGCGGGTAACCGTGGCAAACCTGTACATTTCATCAAGTTTATTTCTCAGACTGCGCACATTGGATAAAAGTATATGCAGTCCGTTCTCATAATCTAATGTCCTGGGTTGACGAGAATTGAGCTCCAACGGATTCTCTGGGCTTTCGGGATTCTTTGAGTTCATTAAGTTTTGGAGGGCGGCAAGGAGGACCCATTGTAGCCCCATCACCTCCATTTCAACACCAAGACCACGTATGTCATTGCGACCTAGTAGTTCTCATGGAACCGGAGCAGTTGCAGTAGAACAGTGCGGCATTGGTGTCTTACCTATGTACGTATATAAATGTCGTTTGAAACTTTCCGCGGTCGTAGTGCCAACAACCTTCCCCGGAAAATCATTCCAGTTATTCACTATCTAAGGGGAGAGAGCAACAACTGTGATGCATTGAAGCCTCCCTGGTTTGAATCATTGCTAGTTACCACCCCGCGTAGAGCCACTTATGTTTGGCTAAAGTAGCTGCTGTGGCTCGATCCAGAGTTCCCCTTCGCGTACGCGCATCATAAAGATGAAGTCTCCACCACGCAACCACCCACGATGTGGATGTCTGTCTAACCAGTTGCTCGGCGGGACCGGAGCACATCAAAGGCTCTTTCCATTGCAATCTGACCTTCCGGAGAAAGATTACTCAGGACGAAAAAAGACGAAACATTCAACCGTGAGGTTCGTCGGGGGACGCGTCGGCATTTCTCTTCGCTTTGGCACAGGCACGTGTGGGGACGTACGTCAGAAACATCCACTTACTTCCTGCGAAGGCGGGAGGCAGAGTTAATGTTAATTTCCAAACCACCACCATCGACTGCAATGGAAATCCGCCTGTAGTGTTCTGGATGTTCCCAAGTAGAACTGTAAACCATTTTAAAATATCGTAGAAGGCAGAAGTCACGATTAAACTCCACACGAAAATCTGCCTCGACGGGGAATCCAACCCCGGTCCACGAATTTCCGGTCCGTTGCTCTACCACTGAGCTACCGAGGGCTGACGATTAGGTGCGGAATTTAACACGTGACTGCTGCTTATTGCGCGACGTATTGCCAATGAGCGCACAGTAACTGTCCTGGTGTTGCAGATCGGCTCACTCACTCGTCACTTCCCAGTGGACCGAAGTAACTGTCCATCCGAAGTCCAAAGGGCGATGGTAGATTATTTGAAGGGTGTTTGTGAGGAACGTAAGTATCGTAGAAGGCAGAAGTCAGAAGTTTTAAAATACATTAAATTATAGATGCTTTAGGTATTGAGGATTAGGAGATCTGCCTGTTGGAATGCGGTTCCGTTTGATTGAAACCAGATCACGTTATCCACCTTTGACGGGCTACCCGACTGCGGACGACGCTCTGTCCACACGCTAGACGACCATCTACATTTTCTCCAGCTAGCTCTCGCCTGGTGCTTTTTTGTAGCATTACCTAGCTATTACTATTCAATAAACGTTTTCCCACTTTAACTTCTGTATGTTTTATACATTGTCCTTGGTTGGCCTCTAGGCTCCTACACGATAGATATAGCTTCTGACTATTGTGACCTGAATAACCAGCGATGGGCAGACTTATCTGTCTGCTCACATAACCCGGGGTTTATCGTTGACTTTTCCGCCTCTTCTGAATAGAGTATTTTCGTCTTCGCACTCTACTTGCATTAATTTTTCAATTAGACGTATATCTCTTCGGACCTGGCTCTAATCTATCCTCGGCTGACCAGTCTCATGTTTCTCACTGCTCCCGGACATCCGAGACGTTATCACTCGAGGCTCTACATTCCAAACACTCTGTTCCCCTCATCTCCAGACCTTTCCTTGGCAAGCTAAATGGCTCATCCTATGGTCACTTTCGTCCCGAAAGCTTATTTTCTTATGACACACCTTATTGTTACTCAAAAGTTAATTTGGCGGCCTAGCTTCAACTTACTGGCCTATCCGGACTCGTCTGAACGGTCTCCTGCTTTCTCGCCCACCTCAAACTTCTGATACCTCAATGGCTTAGGCTCCGCCGACGTAACGTACTGGATCCCGCAACTGAAATGCACTGTTGGCCCTGATTAATC